CATAATTATCCAGTGCGGTGGGTTCCAAGGAGGGTTTTTTCAACAATGGTCTGGCTACCATTGGTGAGGCCTCCTTTAACTATGCTTGGATCCTAGCTTGCTGCAAGGAACATTCACCGCTCCTTGTACACACTTGGCCGGTCCCTCTCTGGCAACTTTTACAAGCCAGGAAAGGCAAGGGTCAAGCAGGCTAGCGGTAGCCTTCCTTTATCCTCCACCCAGATCATCAGGCTGCAAAAAATTAAACTTGTCCATTAGCACAGGATAAGAAGAGGCCACATAACCCATATCAACTATGGCATCCAAGTCAGAGGAGATCTGAGAGATTTTGCTTATGAATTGTCATGCAGATTTTTCATAGCAGATTTTTGCAGACATGTGGTCAGCATTCTCTTCCTGTTGGCCAGCATGTAATAGGCCCTTGACGACCTGAAGGAGCTCTGCTGGAGAACTCTGTGCAGACGCAATGGTAGCAGGGAGGACTGATTTCTTTGCTGCCGCCACCACTACAAAATAGACCTTCTGATAGGCCCTATCCTGTGTTGGGTCAGATTCCCTCCAAGTTGTCTGCCATCATCACTCTGGTTTCCATCTCACTCGTTCCATCACCTCCAGCTCCCTGGTCAGCTGGGGACGGGGACAGCTTGACTCTTATTTCATAGGAAGGGACACTTAAGAGCAATTGTGTCAACAACCTTGGCCATTTCCTCGTTCCAGAGACCAACCAGGGCTTCAACAGAATCGCCTGCCCATATCAATGTATTTAATACATGCTCCTTTCTATATCTGTTACAGTATAGGCTAATAAAGTGCAATGAGGTTTTACTCTTAGATGACCATGCATAGGTTTGAAACCTCTAAGTCAGGAACACTGCCTGGAAGAAGGTAATGTGGTTCTAAAATCTAGTGTTTCAAGAACTTGGTTTTTTAAACCTCACAATTTAGGTTTAAACTGCTCTTGTAACTCTGTGATTAAGTGTGCTTGTGATCCTGAAAAAGAAAACTACTTTATGTTTCTTCAACAACCTCCTTTCCCCCCTGTCGTCTATAATCTAGCTATCCCTAATGCCCACTTGATACAGGCCAAGTAAGAGAAGACAGTAGATTAGTTTTTGCATCTTGGGGATTGATGCATCTTGGTTACACTTGTGTACCTCAACTAAATCACTGGGTCCCTTGGTGCTGCTTACAGTCCTGGCAGGGTTTCAAGTTCTCAAGGCTGTGACTCAGCACCACTCAAGTGCTCACGGGGCTTATTTGTTTTTAATGTGAATAAATAATGGGGCTGTGTCAGGTAACTCTGTTTTGCTTCTGCTTAGGCTATAGAAAATGTGCACATAAAGTGTCCATACAAGCAGTATAACCAGTAATTGCTGTTGGAAAGATACTGAGCTAGGGGGAAAAAAACTAATCAAGTTTCAGAGATCTGTGTCTAGCATGGGAGAAACCATAAAGCACATGTTTATTGTAGTAAATGCAAGCTGTACGATTAGGAAAGTAGAATATTCAATTCAAATCTGCCCTAAATGACCTTGTGTTAATTTGAACCTAGGTCTTGATCAGTGATGTTAAATACCTAACCAGATGGCCCAATGAGCTTTAATTGCCAGGATTATATTGGAGTTGACTAGATGCAGGTTTTTTGGATTCTCCCTTACCTCGCTTCCTCTCTCTCTCTCTCTCAAATTCTAACTTCTTAGTCCTTAGGCGTTCTCTCTCTCTCTCTCTCTCGAATTCTAACTTCTTAGTCCTTAGGCTTTGGTTAAAACATTTATGTTCTTCCTTTCTGCCTCTAAAAAAGATTCAAAGATGCTGACAGTCATAAAAAGTCATTTGGATAAAATTGCATAGCCTAAGTGTAAAAGAACAGGCAAAGCAGTCAACCAACCAGATTAGCAGAGTATCCAACTGAAATGTGTATCTAACCAGTATTGTTTCTTGATTTAAGCACCACTGAGCAAAAATAAAAAATAAAAAAAATCACAGAATGATTTACAAACAAAGTAGTCCTTGCCTTCAAGCTTTAGTTAAGGTACAGGACAAAAGGGGAAAAGTCTAGAGCAGGAGGAAAGAAAAAGCACACTCAGGCTCTTAAAGTTGTAGACATGTCACAATAGCCGATTGAGATGAAAGACATATTCTCCCACCAGAATTGATGGAGTAGCCCCACTTTCCCACTTTGTTTTTCTCTCTGCTCCAGTTGCATGGAATCACTGTTGAGTGATGTGTAAGGGAGAGGAAGAGTATGGACTTTATGCATCTTCTGATGGCGCACAGTGAAAAAGTTCAGCTCTTATTTAGAGGAGAAATCTCACAGCATAAGTGCTAGCACTGGGAAAGTCCTGCCAATTACACTCACCATCATCTGAAATATGATGTGGGATATGAATCAGAGCTTCAACCCACACCTGAATATTAAAGTGTATGGAAAGTCTATGTTAGGAGATGCTGTTTAAGTTATCCAGGTTGCAACTGTTATAGCATTTTATAGTTTTATAGCACTTTATAGTTTTGTAGCATCTCAATGGCTTAGTGACCTCATAGGCCCCAAACAGACAAGAGTACTTAACTGATGGATAGCTCAGTAGTGTAAGTATCTGTCTGTGGAGCCAGAGGTTGGAAGTTCTGTTCCCTACTGTGTCTGCTAGACACAGATCTAAGATTATTCCAAGGTTATAAATGCACATTGACTTGAGCTTGAAAACAAATTCGAAGACACTGGAGCCAATGTACTATTAGTATTATGCACTCAGGAAGAATGTTTCGCAAGTTGTGGACGTTTCAGATACTTTTTTAAAGTTAGTCTCATGTAGGCATTATTAAAATAATCTAATGTGGTTGTCGTCATAGTGAATATGGCAAGAAAATCCTTAGAAATTTGTAGGCAATACACTTGAGACCGG